GAACCAGTACAAGCTCCCCCTCTTGTCTTATAATGAGCAGTGTAACTGATTTCCTTTTTTTCCAGGTCTCTCCCAAACACTCCTACCCTACTCTTCTATCCACGCAAGCTTATCAATATATTTATCCCTTAGACAGTCCCCTCCTTTAAATGAATTCTGATGCCAGGAGTTAGAATAATGAAACTTACTTTTTTTACATGAAGCTTTGTATAGGGAAGATTATTTTGAATGAAAAGTCTATATCCATGTGAGGGCAAAAGAAGATATTTGAAAACAAGCAAGGACTCTGAAACTGTCTCTTGTGTACCCTCTCTGAAAAAAATTACTTGAGGATGTGCTCCAACAAACTGATACAGGAGTCCAGGAAAAAGACTTGGGAAACAGGAACAGTGGAACTGAAACAGAAAAAAGAATCCCAACCTGACAGCTATGCAGCAGACCTAGAATAAATCTGTCAAAAGCAGAATTGGAAGTTAGAGGTCTCTGGGACAAAAACTTCAAGAATAAAATAGATGTCATCGTGCAAGTTGAATAAGTGAAAATCTGGACATTCTTAAAGATGACATGAAGACAAAAGACTCTTTGACTACCAAAAAGGGAAAGTGCAGTTAGAAACACTTGGGGGGTAGGGGGCTTGAAAATCATGATCAAGCTAAAACGCACATTATTTGGGACAACTGAGAATGATTTCAACAGTAAGAAACAAAGGCCACTAAATAGCAGTCGGAAACAAAACTGAATGCATAGCCTTCCGGCAAGGGGGAGCCATTATCATTCAAAAGCAAGTTCTACAGGTCTCTCTGAGCAAAAATTAGTAAATAGATGAAGAGGGGAGAAAAAGGAAGTGCACCAAAAAAGCCAAGATTCTGAATTATGGTCTCTAGTTGGCTTACAAAGCAAATTGTCAAGTCATCCTTGCAAGTGGTCACCTTTAAGTTCTATGTCACTGACACTAGGAAGCTGATTTCAAGCAAGTCCAAGACATGTTATAAAAGATTCCACTGGGCCTCAGGTCATTTAGCAGAGGTACATGAATGTGCATGTTCAAAGCTTAGCAAGGTGTTTTTTAATTTTTTAACAAGTATGAAAGAGTGCCCAACCCCTATTGGACAAAAAAATTGAGGGATGAGTAAGATTAATATTCTGAATCATGATTAATTTTGTTGGGTTTATAATAGATAGCAGGTGTAAGCATTTTCCCAGGATGTCTTTTTTTTTTCTTTTCCTACAAGCAATTTGTCACTTTTAATGGATATTTTCTTGGAGATCAGCCTTTTTCAATTACTTTCTTCCAGTGGGTTCAGGTTTTAAACTTTGTTCCTTTCAATAAATTTTTTAAATGTCTATGTGTGTGTTTATTGTCTATTTAGCCATCACAGTTGTATTCTGATTTTCATTTGGCGGGTAACAAAGTTTTATTATATGGAAATTTAAAGTTATATCTATTAAGAAAAACAAAGTTTAACCAAAAACACAATGTTCCCATTCTCTTACTATTTTATAATCTCTTTTTAAATATAGAGGAATTTTGGGGGGTGAAGGGAGACTTTGGTTTCACTTCAATTCTTTTTCTTCTATTAAGTTCTGGTAAAATAAATATTTTATTTTGAAAAACTGATGCAGCATTATTCATAATAGCCAAGACTTGGAAGCAACCTAAGTGCCCACCAAGGGACGAATGGACAAAGAAGATGTGGTATATATACACAATGGAATACTACTCAGCCATAAGAAACGGTGAAATCCAGCCATTTGTGACAACATGGATGGACATTGAGGGTATTATGAAAAGTGAAATAAGTCAGAGAGAGAAGGTCAAATACCGTATGATCTCACCCATTAAGTAGTAGATAATAACAACAACAAACAAATACATAGAGACAGAGATTGGATTGGTGGTTACCAAAGGGGAAGCAGGGAGGGAGGAGGGTGAAAGGGATAATTCAGCACGTGTGTGGTGATGGACTGTAATTAGTATTTGGGTGGTGAACATGAGAACATGATGTAATCCATGCGGAAATAGAAGTATAATGATGTACACCTGAAATTTATACAATGTTATAACCGATAGTACCACAATAAACAAAAAATTTTTAAAAATAAAAAATAAAGAAAAAAATAATAATATTACACCCCCCCCAAAAAAAAAGAAAGAAAGAAAAACTGAGGCTCAATATGTCATGATGATGGAATTAAGGGTGATTTTTAATTTTCATTTGTATGTGTTATGCTTTTCTGTAATTTTCTTTAAAAATTTAACCACAAATACGCATTATTTTTAAATCATAAAAGTTATTTTGTAAAAGAAAGCCAACTATAAATGTAAAAGAATATTAATGGCAATATTGTTCATAAAAACAAAAAATGGCAAACAACTGAAACATCCATGAACAAGGGGATGGAGCAGTTGAATTATGGTACTCCCCTAAACGACAATGTACCTATAGAAAAGATTAAGGTAGTCTTATGTGAAGGGACTTGGAAAAATACTAAGAAAAGCAAATTGCAGAAAAATATGTTCTCATTTTTGTGGGGGGCAGGAAAGAGTTCAATTTAAATTACCCAACAATAACTCAAAGGGATTTAGGATAAAAGAGAGAAATAGAGATACAGAGACATAGAGATAAAGATATAGGTGTATGTGTGTATATTTCAACTTGACCCCTAAATGCAAACTGATACTCAACTGAAAAAAACTGGTTTCCTGATGTAGTAAAACTAGGTGGACTTACTAAAGAAAGTACAGTATACATTAAGACCACTGTTGACCTAAAACAAATAAACAGCCAGTTATTTTACCAACAGAATGGGTTTATTAGCGAACAGCAAAGGCAGAATTGCAATTAGGGAAGCGGGGCCTATGGTGAACCACAGGCAAGACCAGAGAAACAAAAGAGACGGAGTTCTTTTACGAAGTTGGGAAGGACTGTTGTAAAGGACGAGTCTTTTGGAGGAGACTGGGAGTTCGAAGTATAGTGGCTTTTTATTGGCTGAGTTATGGCAGTCCGTCATTGGCTGAGCTGTTGCTGGGCAAGGAGGAATTTTTTCCTTCCTTCCACTGGGGTAGTAAGTAGTATCACTTCCTGTGACACTTGCAGGGTACCACTCTTCGTGTTGGAGTCTGTAGTGTAGTCGAGTGGCACGTGTGTGAGAGTTCTCTCTTCTAGCCTCCTGACTTGATTTTAAATAAGGTTTCTGTTTATTAATTTTCACACCACGCATATTGAACTGTACGAAATGTGAAATATTTTAAGGATAATTTTGACAATAATAAAATTTTACATTATGAGCTGACTTTAGAAACCTCACACCACATGAGACATTACTTCACTCTTTATGTGTGCACCAGAAGTACTAGGAGGATGAAAGCCCATCAGTTAACAGATGCTGGGGGACAGTTACTTTTGATGCTTACCCACATATTGTTCTACATTGTTTGGATTTGTTAAATTTATACATAATTTATAATTTCTAAAAATTATAAAGTTTTTTAAGTCTGTATATGATCTGTATTATCTTTCGGTGTTAATATATATTCATATAACACTATATTTAACAGCTGCTTATAATTGGACATTTAAGTCTTTTCTAATTTTTTATAATTACAAACATTCTTGTACATAGACCCTTGTTCATTTTTCCATTTGATTCTTCTATGAATTCATCCTAAGGAAAAAAAGGGGGTATGCATTGTTTAACAATATCTTTGTGAGGATAAAGTAAAAAAATGTTTGAAAAGAACCTCACTTCTACAATTTCTCCTTGCCACTGGGCTCAGACCCAGGTCTGAAGAACCCTGAGGGTTAGACAAACATCCAGGCTCCATTTTAGTTGCCCCAGCCCCAGCTGACCCCTGAAAGGAGCTCTGATCCCGACTCTGACCCTGACCTCAGGGTACTCACAGTCCTGAGGGGAAAAGAGACACTAATAATTACAAAACAATGCAACTTGTGTCACAATGGAAGTGCAGTGTCAGAAGTAGTATAGAACACTTCTCAAACTTAAACAAATCACCTGGGGATCTTTTAAAATGCAGATCTGGGATAAACCTGAGATTCTGCATTTCTGCCAGTTCCCAAGTGACGCTAAAAGTATAGTCATTTGCAAACCAAACTTTGAGTAGCAAGAGTATAAATAGAAGATAAAAAGAGCTTTCCAAATGCCTGAGCAGAGTTTTGAAATATGAATATGAATTTCCCAGACAGTTAATGAGGGGAAGGGTATACCCCTTAGGGAATGGCTTATGCAAAGGTGCAGGGGCGTGAAATGACATGGTTTGTCTGAAGTACCAAGTTCAAAGGGTGGAGAGAACATTGGAAGGATCTCTCCTAAGGAGCACCGATGCTGATGGAACAGAAGAAGAAGAGACCTCGGAGTGAATCCACAGGCTGGATGAGTGAACCAGATGTAAGCAAAAGTGGAGGCGGGCGTGAGCGATACGGGGAGGGGTGCCCCCACCAAATGAGTGAATAAAGAACCTAGTGCAGGTTTGAGGGAGAAGGTAATGAGTTTAGTTTGAGATTCATGGAGTTGGAGGTGGAGGAGTAGGGAGCAGTGGGACATTAGTGGAGCACTCTAGGGAAAGGCTTGAGCAGGAACTGGCAAGTTGTCAGTGTGTTGGGCAGTCAAAGCCATGGGCTGGGAATCGAGAAAGATTCTCTAAGCCAGAGGGATAGTCTCTCTGTGAACCTCTGAACCACGACTATAAAGCTGCAAACATGTGAATGATGTTTCTCATTCTACATCTGAGAATGTGGATCATCAGGGGCCAAAACCAGGATCCCGAGGTCCCCCGAAATGATCAACAACATCTCACACAAAAACCTGCATGGAAATGTTTATAGCAATCTTATTCATAATTGCCCAAAACTAGAAGCCACCAAGATGTCTGTCAATAGATGAATGGATAGGGGCCGGCCCAGTGGCGCAAGCGGTTAAGTGCACGCCCTCCGCTTCGGCGGCCTGAGGTTCGCAGGTTCCAATCCGGGGTGCGCACCGATGCACTGCTTGTCACGCCATGCTGTGGTGGCGTTCCATGTAGAGTGGAGGAAGATGGGCACGGAGGTTAGCTCAGGGCCAATCCTCTGCAAAAAGAGGAGGATAGGCATAGGATGTTAGCTCAGGGCTGATCTCCCTCACAAAAAAATAAGAAGAAGAAGAATAACACAGGTCTTTACACTTAACTAGTTATATTCTTGGGAAATTAAAATCTATTTAAAAAAATAGATGAATGGATAAACAAACTATGGTACATCCATATGATAGGCTATTATTCAACAATATACAGAAATGAGCTATCAAGCCATGAAAAGACGTGCAAGAACCTTAAGTGCATATTACAGAGTGAAAGAAACCAGTATTAAAAGGCTATATATTGTACGATCCCAACTGGAGAACACAAAACTATAGAGACAGTAAAATTATCAGTGGATGCCAGGTGCAATATAGTGATTTATAATAAGAAATATATCTTTGGTCTTCCTCCCTCTTCCTGGCACAGAGCCTAAAACCCTCAGAATTTCCTAAGCAATGAGATAGATAAAAGAGTCTTTTGTTATGTTAATGAGTTTGCTTTTGGAAATTCCTTAGGTAACCAAAGGTTGGGGGCTGGTTGCCAAGGGAACCAACCATGTGATCAGAGGGTTGGAACTTTCAATGTCCTCTCCCCACCCCCAACCTCTGAGGAGGGGAGAGGGGCTGGAGATTGAGTTTAATAGCCAATGGCCAATGATTTAATCAATCGTCTACAGAACGAAGCCTCCATAAGAACCCAAAAGGCAGGGCCAGCCCGGTGGCGTAGTGGTTGAAGTTCACGTGCTCTGCTTTGGTGGCTCAGGGTTTGTGGGTTAGGATCCCGGGCGCAGACCTATGCACCACCACTCATCATGCCATGCTGTGGCAGCATCCCACATACAAAATAGCAGAAGATGGGCAAAGAAGTTAGCTCAGAGATAATCTTCCTCAGCAAAAAGAGGAGGATTGGCAATGGATGTTAGCTCAGAGCCAGTCTTCCTCACACACACACACACACACACACACACACACACACAAACACTAAAGGGGACCGGCTCCATGGCCTAGTGGTTAAGTTGGCCATACTCCACTTCTGCAGCCCGGGTTCAGTTCCCAGGCGCTGACCTACACCACTCATTGGCGGCCATGCTGTGGTGGCAGGCGACCCACATACAAAATAGAGGAAGATTGGCACAGATGTTAGCTCAGGGCGAATCATCCTCAGCAAAAAAAAAAAAAAAAAAAAGGATGGGGTTTAAAGAGCTTCTGGGTTGGTGAACACATGGAAATTTGAAGAGAGTGGCAAGCCCAGAGAGCGTGGAAGATCCATGCCTTTTCCCACATACCTTGCCTTATGCGTGTTTTCCATCTGGCTATTCCTAAGTTGTATCCTTTTATTATAAACTGGTAATCTGGTAAGTAAAATGTTTCTTGGAGTTCTGTGAGCAACTCTAGCAAATTAATCAAACGCAAGGAGCGGGTCATGGGAACCTTCCGTCTGAAACCGGCAAACAGTTAGCCTTTGATGATTAAGTAGCTAGGAACTAAAGTTTTTTTTTCCTTTTTGCAATTACTGATTGTAGCTTTTAGTTGTTCCCCCACCCATTGTTAACTGTGCTGTTTAGGCAATATGCTGTCTGACTCCCACTAGGTTCCTATAGATAACATCTCCTTGAAGCCTGGGTCACCATGGTAATGGGTGTTTGAGCTGTTTTTCAGGAATCAGAGCCCCTTGTCCACTTCAGGTCAGTTGAGACCACCAACCCATCAACTGGGCCTGTGCAGATGTCCAATAAGCGACCATTTGACGTCAGGAGGCTAAAAACTCCACCCTTGGGTCATGCCAATGCCACCATTTTGGGAACATGCATCCTATGAAGAGGCATGAAGTCTGAATACACTTGCACAGATCATCAATTACCTCACCTCTCCTCACCTCCAATCATCTATCTCCACATTTCAGACCACCTTGCTCCCTACCCCATAAATATCCCTCTGTCTCTATTTTCAGGGAGGCGGATTTGAGACTTATGCTCCCGTTTTCCTCAGTTGGCTGCCTTGTGAATAAACCCTCTCTCTCTGCAATCTCGTCGTCTCAGTGTTTGGCTTTCTGGGTGGCAGGCAAAATGAACCTGGTTTGGTAACACATCTATAGCTGGTGGATCAGAAGCACAAGTGTCACCACTCCTATTTAACATAGTATTGGAAGTCCTAGCCAGAGCAATCCGGCAAGAAAAAGAAATAAAAAGGATCCAAATTGTAAAGGAAGAAGTGAAACTGTCACTATTTGCAGATGACATGATTTTATATATAGAAAACCCTAAAGAATCCACCAAAAAACTTTTAGAAGTAATAAACGAATATGGTAAAATTGCAGGATACAAAATCAACATACAAAAATCAGTTGCATTTCTATACACTAACAACGAGGTAGCAGAAAGAGAAATTAAGAATACCATCCCATTTACAATTGCAAAAAAAAGAATAAAATACCTAGGAATAAACTTAATAAAAGAGGTGAAAGATCTGTACACCGAAAACTATCAAACATTGCTGAAAGAAATTGAAGAAGACACAAAGAAATGGAAAGATATTC